AGGTCCATCCGGGCTGTTGTGTGTATTAACAATCCATTTGTTATTATTGCCAAGCAGTGTTCCATGGTATAGATGTACGACAGTTTATTTAACTGTTCACCTGTTGAAGGACAAGTGGTGGTTCCCAGGTTTTAGCTGCTAGGAATGAAGCTGCTACGAACATTCACATGCAAGTTTCTCTGTGAACCTAAGTTTTCATTTCCCTGGGGTTAATGTCCAATATTACAATTGCTGGGTTGCATTACAGCTGATTTTCAGCTTTAAAGGAAATGGCCAAACTCTTTACCAGAGTGGCTGTACCGCTTTATATGCACACTAGCAGTGTATGAATGACTAGGCTGTCCACATCTTCTCCAGCATTTGGTGTTGTTACTATTTATTATTTTAGCTTTTCTGATAAGTGTGTAGTGATATGTCATTGCTGATTTAATTCACACTTGTCTAATGGATAATGATGTTGAACATCTTTTCAGTGCTTATCGGCCATCTGTGTATCCTCTTCAGTGAAATGTCTGTTCTCATCTTTTGTCCATTTTTTAATTGGATTATTTGTTGCTCAATGTACAATTTTGAGAGTTCTTTGTGTTTTCTAGATACCAGTCTTTTATCAGATATGTGGTTTGTAAGTATTTTTCTCCCCCTCTGTAGCTTGTCTTTTCATCTTTTTATGGTTTCTCACAGAGAAAAACTTTTTATTTTGATGAGGTCCAATTTACCAATTTTTCCTTTTACATATTATGCTCTTGATGTCAAGTCCAAGAATTCCTCCCTTCATCCTATGTCCTGATGATTTTATTCCATATTTTTTTCTAAAAAACTTTATAGTTTCACATGTACATTTAAGTCCATGATCTCTTTTGACTTAATCATTATATAAGGTGTGAAGGTCACACTGAGGTTTATTTTATCTTTTGCCCATGGACATCCATTTCGAGCAACACTGTTTGTTTAAAGGCTATCCTTCCTACATTGAATTGCATTTGTGCCTTTGTAAAATGTCAGTTGGGAACACTTGTGTTGGTTTTCTTCTGGATCCTCCGTTCTGCTCCATTGATCTATGTGTCTGTCCCTCTGCCAATATCACACGGTCTTGATTAATGTAGTCATATAGCAAATCCTTAACATTGGAAGAATGATTGATTCCTTTCACTTTATTCTTCTTTTTCGAAATGAGTGTGGCTATTCCAGGGCCTGCATATTTCTATAAAAACTTTATAATAAGCTTATGTCTACAAAAACTCTTGCTGAGATTTTGATAAGAATTGCATTAAAAGTCTATGTCATTTTGAAGAGAATTGGCATTGTTGCTCTGTTGAGTCTTTCAGTCCATGAACACAGTAAGTCTCACCAATTATCAAAGCTTTCTTTGACTTCCCTCCTCAGTGTTTTGTCATTTTCAGCATACAGATCCTGTACGTTTTGCTAGATGTATACCTAAGTGTTACATTGTTTGGAGCAATAGTAAACGGTATTCACTTTTAAAATGTCAGTTTCCACTTTGTTGTTAGCACTTAGAAGGGTAGTGGATTTTTGTCTGTTGACTTTGTAACCTGCAACCATGATGAACTCACTTGTTAGTTCTAGGAGCTTTTTTCGGTAGATTGCTTTGAGTTTTCAACATAAGCAATCATGTTATCTACAAATAAAGGTAGTCTAATTTCTTCCACTCCGATCTGCATGCCTTTTATATCCTTTTTGACTCTTGCCTCATTGCACTGGTTAGAACTTCCAGTGCTCTGCTGAACGAGAATGGGGAAGGCAGACATCCCTGCCTTGTTTCCTCTCTGAGATGGATTAGGAGAGCCCTGGTCGTCCCCCGTCACATATGATGTTAACTGTAGGTTTGTGTAGATATTCTTTACCAAGCTGGAGCAGCTCTCCCTTCATTCCTTGCTGGTTGAGAGTTTCCTTTTATCCTGAATGAATGTTGGATTTTGTCAACTGCTTTATCTACAGCAGGTGATCTGATCACTGATTTTTCTTCTTTACCTGTTAAGGTGGATTGCATTGATTGATTTTTGAGTATCAAATCAGCCTTCTATCCTTTAAACAAATCCCACTTGGTTGTGGTGTATTATTCATTTTATACATTGCTGGATTCAATTTGTTGAGGATTTTTGTGTCTAAGTTCACGAGAAATCTTGGTTTGCAGTGGGTTCCCCCCCCCCCACTTTTTTGTACTATCTTTGTCTGGTTTGGGTACCATAAAATGGGCTGAGGAATGTTCCCTCCTTTTCTATGTTCTGGAGATTGTATAAAGTTACCACGATTCCACATAGCAGGGATGTTTGAGAAAACTTAGCACAGTGATGTCTGATATTTAATTTAATGTTATTTTGTTTCTTTCTGTGATTTCTCTCCCTTTTTCACTGTGCCATCAGTAAAATTTGTGAAACACAAGAAATAAGATAAAAGAGGTGTCTTTGCCTGGGGCAGAGCTGGGAAAGACAACTAGAGCACTGGAGGCAAGAAGGGGATGGGATGGGTAATGAAGCAAAAATCTGACAGGCAGATGTCCCCACCCTCACCCTCACCTCCCGGAATTCTTAGACATCCTGGAAGGGTCAGTGGGCTTCCCAGAGACAGGGGACTGTGCAGGGAGGCCGTGGATAGTAAGTGGTGACTCCACGGGGCTGGAGGACATAGAGACCTGATCACACCTGCTTATCAGAGATGTACTCATGCAACTGTATTTGTGGTGGTGGTGCACCTGCGATGTGTCAGCTTTGCTTGGGGCTGGGGATACAGGATGTAGGATGTGGAGGTGTCTCTTGCTGTCAGCATATTAGGACTCAATGTGGACTATTTACATCAGAATCAGCTGGAAGCTTGTTAAACATAATTCAAGGCCCATCCCAGGTCTTCTAAATCAGACCCTCTGGCATTGGAGACCAGGGATCCGTAGTTTGGATAAGAAGGAATTCTAATATTAGAGAAACATCCATTGAAAGGATCTTCGTTTTTACAAATGTATTCCCACTCTGGTTTACAATTCCACGATCTTTGTGAAAAGTTGAAAACCAAATCAAAGAAAATGTAAAGTGTAAGGGAGGAAAAGAATTCTTCTACCCTCTCTAGGTCCTTCTGGCTGGGCTACAAGTTAAATTCACACGAGACAGAATAACAGGAGAAAATCAAACAAAGCTTTGTAACATGTACACATGGGAGAGACCCAGGAAAATTGAGTGACTCGTGGAAATGGCTGAGATGCCAGCTTAAATATCATCTTCAGCTTAAGACAAAGGAGGACATTGGGGGTAGTGGTTTGGACTTCAAGTGGGTGGAAGGTGATTTACATGGAGATGGAAATGTAAATGAGCCAACTACAGACAATGTGACCTGAGAGACACTACATCACGTTACAGTTATCTTACTGTATTAGCTCCTTCCTGGATCACACCTTCTATGTTAAATTCTTTTAGGCAATTTGGGGGAAGGTCAGATGTTCTTCCTGAGTCTTCTGAGCCTTTATTGTCTTCAGCTGGAAATAATCTGCATCCCAGAGTGGCACATCTTGGGGCAGCCTGCCCTGAGCCCCATCAAAGGTGTTAACAATAAGCCCAAGGAATGTGAAGATAACGAAGCCTTTCTAAACGGCAGGCAGAGTAGGAAAGAAATCTCACATTAAAGTCAATGTATACCACTGTCAGAGGACTGAGGACCCAGATCCTTAAAGGGATTGCAATTTTAGTAATGGAATACTTACAGCATTTGTTCTTTTAATGTTACTCAAGGGGTTAACACCAACCGCCTAGCAAGGTGGAATGGGACCTGTTAGACTTGGAGCCTGCCCTGACCAGGGAGGGAGAAGGACCATGGAGAGGTGGAGGATGCACGGACCTCGGCCAGGCCATCCCTGCCTAGCGCTGGACAAGCACCCTTGGGCAGAGAGGTCTGTCCACGGTCCCTCTTCGCGTGCGGCTCAGACACCTGCGCCCCTCTGGTGTCCATTCTCACACTGCCCCTCCTTGCACGTCCCTCCCCACTGCCCTGCCCCGCGGTGGACAAGCTCCTTCGGGCAGAGAGGTCTGTCCACAGTCCCTCTTCCAGGGCAGCTCAGACCCCTGTGCTGGTCCTGTGTTCACTCTCACACCGCCCCTCTTTTAGCGACTACAAACACAGGTTCTTTACCCGCCACACAAGAGGGGACAAATGAAAAGTGGAATGCCAGGCTTATGGCAAGGGAAGGGTTTTCATTTGGGATGATATCAGTCAGGTGACAAAAGTGAGCCTTCAAATTTGTCTTGTTTAGTCTCATCTCCCTGAAACATGGGAGGGGAGGGGTTTTAAAGGTTTGTGAGAAATGTGGCTGTTTGTAGATTGGGGGCGAGGGGGTGGTTGGAGTCAGTGGCCTTCCTGTTCAGAACTTTCCCACCAGCCTGCCCTTGACCAGGGAGGAGGTGGAAATGATAAGGAATCCAGCTGGTTGTCCTTAGCTGTTCTTCTCCATGGCAGATAGCGGGTTCTGGAGCCAGGGAATCAGCAGGGAAAGAGTGCTTTGGTTTTAACCCCATATATGCTGGGTTTAATGTAGGGGAAGTGATATGGGGGCCCGCATCACCTCCCTGTACATCCCTCCCCACCGCCCTGCCCCAGTCCCAGGCCACCTTCCCAGGTTCGGAGGGTTTTCGAGCTATACAGATGTTTTCAAGGACGCGATTTTGAAGTCCGCACCTGCCGCCTGCGGAATTTGGAAGGGCGGGGCGTCCTAGACGCGGGATGAGGCGCAGAAGCTACAAAGCCTGGGACGACCTCAGCTCCCCGCCCTGCACGACCTCAGAACCCGGGCGGCGGGCGAGCCATCCCCCGCAGAACCCGGGCGGCGGGCAGCCCCGAGGAATCCCGCAAAGGCTCGGAAGCGGCGACGGCCCGCCCGGCGGAAGCGAAGGGACAGTGGCCGCGGCTCAGCCAGCTGCCGGCGGTCCGCACTACTCAAGGAGCCCCGACCGCTGCCCGCAAGTTCCCGACAGGCAGCGCGCGGGCAGCCCGACCGTGACGTCACGGCGGCGCGCCGGCCGTAGGAGAGGACCCCGTCGCGACCGCGTCCCCTCGGGTCCTTGAGCCGGCCCCGACCGCGAGCCATGGCCTTGAGGCTGCTGAGACTGGTCCCGGCGTCCGTGTCCGCGCGGGGCCTCGCGGCGGTCACCCAGCGCGTGGTGAGACGGCGGCGGCAGGAGCTGGGGGTGGGGTCCTCGCCTGTCCTCCGGGCGCCGGCCTTCCTCCGCGCCGCGGCTCCAAGGGTCACTCTCGGGGGGACACCGCTGCCCCGGGAGTGTTGGGTCCTGAGTCGCGGGCAGACCGCCGAGGGCCCGCGAGCTTCTCTGGCCATTTTATCTCACCTCCCAGCAGATCGCTGGAGCAGGACGGCAATTGGCCGCCAGGCTGCCCTAGTGTGGGGGGCGAGTTTGCGGATGCTGTACCCCAGTGCAGTCGCCGCGGTAGACGTACGAGCAAGGATGGGGGAGCCCGGAAGAGTCTGGGGCGCGCGCGCTCATTCATTCATGCATGCATTCATTCATTTATGTAGCGCCTCTGTCGAGCCCCAGTTAGGGGTCAGGCCTTGCTAGGCGCCGGGGTGATGTGACTTTGAGCCGACACAGAGAAGGCATTTAGGTCAGATCTGGAAGGATTAGGAACACTTCTTATGGTAGAGAACAGTGGGATGACATTGTACGCAGAGGGAACAAGAGAGGCCAAAGAGCTGTGGCTGGAAACCCTAGGAAAACTTTGTTTTATGACTGCGGCTGATCAAAGCGTCTTTGCTTGCTGGTGGCTGGAGCTACACTGGCATCACGTTGTAAAGGGACTTGACCTCCGAGCTAAGAATTTTGATCAGAAGAGGGTTTTGAACAGAACAGTGCAATAGTCTTTTTACGAAGTCACATAAATCTTTTTAGGAGATAACTCAGGCTTCAAAAGAGAAGGAAGAAAAGCGGTTGTCTTTTTAATACCCAGTTGTACTGAGACCTGTTTTAGTGGAAGTGAGGGCCCCAGAATAGAGGAGGTGATATTTTGCTGCCATGCACGCACTAGACAGTGTGTTCACCTGTAACAGTGTGTTCAGTTCTGGGCACTACCCTCTAAAGGGCATATAATGAACTCCAGTAGGTGCAGAGAAGAATGAGTAAGATGAAGAGGGTATACACCTTGTTACTTAGGGAGTAATTAAAGGAACTGGAAATGTGTCATGAAAGATCCTTGTGATTCCAGAGAGCGGAAGAATGGAACTGAGGATGGGAAATTATAGAAAAGACTACTGTCATTCTGTAAAACGTCTCTTTCTAAAGATTTTGAAGTCAAGGAATGGTCGATTGCTTGATTCACACGTTGCTGTGCACCAGTTTTGTGCAACATTGTGGTATATTCAAGTTCTGGACTCAGATGGGGAAGGAGTTTGCACGCGACCGAGAGGTAGCCTAGAGGAGAGGGGGATTAATTCCTGGGCTGAAAGGTTCCAGTATGATTAACACTCCCTCCCTGCCCCCATCTGCTACTCTTCCCCAGTCCACTTTGCATCAGCTGCACTGTCCTGGCTGATCCTGCAGTGCTCTTGCTCGGGGCGTTTGCACTGGCTGTTTCTCTGCCTGAAAGATCAGAAGTCCACTTGGGCAGTTCCCTCGGTGCCTTCCAGTCTTTGTTCAGGTGTCACTCTCGCTGTGAGGGCTCCACGACCACCTGCTTTAACATTACAGCCCTTCCCATGCACGGTGTTCCCGCCACAGCACTTAGTGTGCTGGATAATTAGTTACTTTTTTGTTTTTTGTATCCCATGGGATCTTTTGGCTCACTGCTGTATCCTCATGGTCTAGAAAAAGTGCTTTGTGTGCGGTAGCTCCTAATGCTTGTTGAATGAATGAGTGAATGAATAACACAGGAGCTACTGAGTAAATTAAGTATTCACAAATTATTGGGCGTTTTAGATATTGGAAGATACAGAGAATATGCTGCCATTTACTAACCTGTTCTGTCAGTGGACCTGTGGGTGGTTCCAGTTGTTTGCCATTACAGGCCTTACACCTGTGAGCATTTCTTCATATATATCTTTTCTTCTGTCTTTTTTCACCTGCTATGAATGTGTCTGTATGTGTGTATTATTTACAAAAATGAGATCATATGGTGCATTCTCTCTCTTTTTCTTTTAATAAACTACAACCATGCTTTATTCAGACTTCCTGTTTTTCCCTAATATTCTTTGTCTGCTCTGGGATCCCATCCAGTACACCATGTGGCATTTAGTCGTCTTGTCTCTTTAGGCTTCTCTCGGTTGTGATGGTTTCTCAGATGTTCTTGTTTTTGATGACCCTGACAGTTTTGAGCAGTACGAGGCAGGCAGTTTGTCCCTCAGCGCGACTTGTCTGAGGTTTTTCTCATGATTAGACTGGGGTTGTGTGTTCTTGGGAGGAAGACCCAGAGGTAGAGTGGCATTCTCATCACATAATAGCACCACGAACATGACTTACCACTGTCGATGTTGACCTTGGTCACCTGGCTGAGTGTAGCGAGGTAGTTTCTCCACTGTAAAGTTACTCTTTTTTTCCCCTTTTCCATCTTGTCCTCTTTGGAGGAAAGTCACTGTGCAGCCCACACCTAAGGAGTGGGGGGGTTATGCTCCCTTCCTCAAATGCAGAAAATTATGTAAATTATTTAATTTTTCTGCATGGGAGATTTGTCTGTTCTCCCACATTTACTTATTTATTTATTTATATTCAGTGATTTATTTCTATCAGGATGGACTCATGGATATTTATTTTAGACTTTGAGTTGTAATCCAGTATGGCTCTCTTTTCTTGCTCAGATTACTCCAGCTGTGGCCATTGGGAGCTCTTTCGGTCGGCTCCGGAATCCCTGTAACGCACCCCTCACTGTGCGTGTGTGAGCGAGCGCTTCCTTGCTTTCCGGCTCTACAGCGTGGTCCAGGCTACTTGTGTATTTCCTGCCCCAATCCTGGAATCAGCCATTTCTCTGAAGAGCCTTTGTTCCTTTTATTAGAGAATGGTATTAGAAACCAAGATTAGGTACTAGGTGTAATCGCGACTGGGGCGTTGTTGCTTCTAGGCCCTCTCAGCAGACAGAGCAAGGAAATGTACTAACCTGTGTGTGTACACGTAGCTATGGATAATCCTATATGGAACCATCTGAGTCTATGACAAACTAAACATGACTCTATACTGACGTCTCTGACTGTAGTCCACTATCACATGGGTCATTCTAGCCTCTCTCTTGCTGATCTGTAACCTCCCACTCCAGCGGTAGAAACCTGGCTCCCACCATCTGCTGTCCATTTACTTAATTGCTTAATTCTAGGATATGATGCCGTAGTATCAGAATTGTTAACCTTACCCTGTGGGAAGTATCTTTCTCAACTAGAATACAGTTCCTTTTGCCTTTAGCCTTCCAGACTCTACTGATTTCCAAAGGGCAGCACCTTTCCCCCGACCCGCTTTAGTGAGGTTTTCATACATTTGTAACAGTTGATTTTGTCCATTCTGCATTCCATCTCGGATCCCTCTACCTAAATGAGGCTTTAAAAATTTGCCTACATTGAGGTTCACTCTCTGTGCTGTAAAGGTCTATGGGTTTGAGAAATGCATAGTGTCGTGTATCCACTGTTCCAGTATCATACGGAGTAGTTTCACTGCCCTAAAAATCCCCTTTGCTTCACCTATTCAGCACTTCTCCTTTCCCTGAGCTCCTGGCAACCCCTGATCTCTACCATCTCTAGAGTTTTGCCTTTTCCAGAATGCCTTATAATTGGAATCATGCAATATGTTGCCTTTCCATACTGGCTCTTTCACTTAGAGATGTGCATTTAAGATTCACTCATTTTTTTTGTAGCTTGATGACTCATTTCTTTTTATTGCTGAATAATATTCCCTTGTATGGATATATCACAGTTTATCCATTCAGCTATTGAAAGACATCTTGGTTGCATCCTGTTTTTGGTGATTATGAATAAAGCTGCTGTAGTCATGTGTATGCAGATTTCTTTGTGGAAATACGTTTTCATATCAGATGAGTAATACATAGGAGTGTGATTGCTGGATCGTGTGGTAAGACTATGTTTAGTTTTATGTGAAACCACCTTCCAAAGTGACTGCTGGTTGCGTTCCCCTAGCCGTGAACGAGCATTCCTCTTGCTCTGCGTTCTCACCAACGGCTGCTGTTGGCAGTTGTTGAGATCTTGAGTCAGTCTACTAAGTGTGGAGCGGCTTCTTTTTAACTTGCAATTCCCTAATGATAGACAATTTTGAGTATATTTTCAGATGCATATTTGCCTTTATGTATATATTCTTTTGTGACATCTGTTCAAATCTTTTGCCTTTTTGTAATTATTTGCTTTCTTTGTGTTCTCTATCATAAACTGTTTTTTCTCCACCCTTCGGTAATCAAAACTGTAAAGCAGATCAGGACTGAAAAAAATCTTGACATCATTTAAATTCTCTTATGTTCTGTTTATTCCATAGTAAAGTATTTTATTATTTTAGTTGGTTCTTAGTATTCCATAATGTGGATATACTTTTTTTTTTTAAACTACTGCTCTGTGTTGTACATTAAGGGTTTCTATTTATGTTTTTGGTATTATTATTATGTGGGTAAATCTTTGTAGAAATCCATGTCTGTTCCCTTAGGATGGATTCCCGGTGGCTCCAGGCCCAGTGTCTAGGTTTACATTAATAGCAGTTTATGAGGACTTTGTCCTGTCCCAACACTGCACATCGTCATTTAAAAAGAATAAAATATTTGTTTGATACATAAGAAAGTGTTTTCTCCTTGTTAGTAATCTTTGTTTGCTTTTTGTAGCAAGGTTGAGCATTTTTCTGCTTGGTTGTTGGCTGTCTTTAATACAATTAAAAGAAGCTGTGCAGTCCTAGCTTCTTTTTCCTGTTGATCTGTACAACCTCTGTGTACGCTAAGGCTATATTCCATCACGTGTGTTGAACTTTTCTCAGTTGTTTGCCTTTTGATTGTGTTTTTCTTTGTTTTCGGGAAAGATCATTTTGGCTTTAGTGCGGAGATGCTGGAGACAGGAGGTGAGGCTGGCATTTGCCTTGTAGCTGAGAGATGTGGGGATGCCTACAGAATTAGTGCGGTGTGGGGTGGGAGCTGATGCCGTGCTCCAGGGAGATTTAAGAGCTAGGATCCACAGGGTTTTGTGAGTGACTGTGGAGTTGGAGGAAGGAGGAGGGTGTCGGAGGTGGCTCTCGTGTCTGCTCTGTTTTGCTTGGTGGATAGTGGGTGAGAGCAGATTTAGGGGCTAGGGTATGGGTGTGGAACTCCACTTTTAGATCTGTTTGCTCTCAGGTGTTTTCAGGACGTCTGATGGAGCTGTTTAAAGGCAGCGAGGTAGCCAGGTCTGGAGCTCAGGACAGGAGCCTGGGCTAGAGAAATGTTCTTTATTCCCTACCTCCCTGTCTCCCCCAGCCCCCTCCCCGCTCCCTTTCTTTCATCCATCCATCTCCATCTGTCCAATTTTTATTGAACACGGTAAGAATATTCTGTTCCAGGGCCTGAGGATTTACCAGTGAACAAAACAGACATTCTACCTGCCCTTATGAGCTTATTTTGGGGTGGGGCATGGGGGCTGGTAATTAAACAAATAAATTGCTAATGAAGACGTAGATGTTGGCATTTTTATCACCAAGGATCTTCTTAGCGTTTTTCCCTAATAGTTGCTCATGCCTGCAGTAGCCAGAATACTCATGTTGTGCTGTTGTGTGATGTTGTGTTTTTCAGGGCGGCATTCATACAAGTGTACAGTGCAAGCTGCAGTATGGCCCTTTGGCATACATACTTGGGGACCGAACAACCAAAAAACTGACAGAACGCAGCAAAGTGATAACTGTAGATGGCAATATATGTTCTGGAAAAGGCAAGCTTGCGAAAGAAATAGCAGAGAAACTAGGTATGAACTTACCTCATGCAGAATGACCACTCTCTCAGATGTGTGGTTGCTTATCTGAGTTTGATCCACTTTAACATTGACTTGGTAGAACTGGGCCCAAGGTAGGTATTTTACATATTTGAAATATTTATGGAAAAAGCTGTTTTCAGTCTTTCAGATTTGGAAAATTTTAAAAGTCTGTGCTGGTTGTCAACTGGAATTGGAATTTCATGATGATGTGGGCAGAGCCCTCTCACGTGAGCTGTCTGACTTGAAATTTGTAGCGGCCCTCTGAAACGAGGTTGTTATTGCCGTCATTTACAGACGGTAGACTTGGTAGGCAGCTGGTGTTCCCAGCTTGTTAGTGCAAAGCCGGGATGGGAACCCCGGTGCTGGCTGGTGGTGTGGATTTTGTTCTGTGTGCCTCTCTGCGGTATTTGAGCAGAAGTTGCCCGCTTGCACACGGGGGTTCCCGTAGTTAGGAGAGGCTCTCTTTTTCAGGGGGAACTCGCATGAGGGTACGGTACGACATGCTGCAGCGCAGCCCTTCAGCGCACATGCTTGTCGTACACATTTTAGACATGTTGTCTCTAGTGTCCTATGTGCTCCCTTTTACATGTGATACGACATAAGCCTGAGGGTAACTTTCTCCAGGTCTTAACCGACCAGCCTCAGCACTCGGGCTTTGTTCAGATGGGGCTCTGTTTTTGTTAGTGCACGCTGCTCGCTGGTGGGAAGGGAGGCATCCACGTCGCGTTTCATCCGGGTGTGTCTCTTCTCAGGCTTAAAGCACTTTCCTGAAGCAGGAATACATTATGCAGACAGCACTACAGGGGATGGAAAACCCCTGGACGTGGAGCTCAGTGGCAACTGCAGTCTGGAGAAGTTCTATGATGACCCGAAAAGCAATGATGGCAACAGTTACCGCCTGCAGTCCTGGTTGTACGCCAGTCGCCTCCTGCAGTACGCGGACGCCTTGGAGCACTTGCTGAGCACAGGTCAGTGTCCAGGATCATGTGCTGCGCTTGAGCCCTCTTCTGGAATTCAGCCATGTGAGACTGCCACCAAGTAGAGCTTTTCTTTGAGAGTATTTGATGAGGCAAATGCTCTCTTTCTAATAAGATCATAAATTCCCCGAGATCCATGTTGTTATTGCTTCAGAATAACATCCACTAAATATTAGTTCATTGTTGTGTATTGGAGTGAGGTTTATGGATTGTATGGAATTTTTGTGCCACTCTTCTAGACATGTAGATGAAATATGTCAAAAAATGGAGGAAAGAGAGAACCTATAAATGACTGGGAGGAAGTGGAATCGCACTCATAAAGATGGAGCTGTGTGTCGTACAGAGAGGAGGATGCAACAAAAGAGAGTTGTCTCTGAGGGCACAGAGATAGGCTGGAATTCACCATCAACCCACAGGGTAGAAGTTAAACCTTGAGAAATGCAGAAGTGGGGAAAGCAGAACACACAGGGTCCCATGGGCCTGTATGGTAAGGGGGGACGTGTCCATGGAAGGCATCCAAAGCAGGCAAGAAATGGACAAGGGCTGCATATTGGGCGGAGTCTGGAGTCTGGGGGATAGGCAACAAGGGTCAGGACAAGAAGTTAGGAAACGGAGGGAGGGAGCACAGGTGGGGCAGGGGCATGGGCTTACATGGAGTGCAGCGGTCAGAATCCTGGCAGGGCTCCTCCATCATCTTGGGAACCCGCAGCCCGGGTTAAATTCGGACCTCACCCCAGAACATCATGACAGTCAGCCAGCAGATACCACCAGTGCATGGCCAAAGCCGCCAAACTATAACAGTTTTGAATTCATGGGTAGAAGCAAATGGCATGTGGGATGTGTGTGTGTAAGGGAGATTGAGGAGTTTGTATGAGCCGTGTCACACAGTGGTGGTTGCCATGCCTGCCTGAATGTCACTTACCTGGTGACCTCAGCTGCCACCTGGAGGGTCTGGTTCATGGGGTCTGAGTGTGAGAACAGGAATGTGTTTTTCAGGGGCTGGCCCATTTGGCAGAGTGGTTAAAGTTCCATGTGCTCTCCTTCGGCGGCCCAGGTTTGCAGGTTCAGATCCTGGGTGCAGACCTGCTCCACTCCTCAGCCATGCTGTAGACGCGTCCCGTGTACAAAGTAGAGGAAGATTGGCACAGATGTTAGCTCAGGGCTAATCTTCCTCAAGGAAAAAAAAATTTAAAAAGCAAAGAAAGAATGGGTTTTTCACAAGGACCCCAGGTAACTGATGGAGTGTCACAAAGCTGCCTCTTGTTCCAGGAGGGTCCCACATGTGTAAGATGTTCCACAAGACACAGGATAATGCTCTGTCTAAACGGCCACTGAGGTCTGGTTATCGTCTTGCTTTTCCAGCATTCTATGAGTGATGCTTTTCCGTATGTGAACGTAAATCCTGATTGTGGTTAGCGTTGCTCCTAAGAAAACACGATCTACCTCCTAAAGTTCTGTACCAGGACCCAGATCACAGGAACCGGTTAGTGGCTTGGAGCTAATACTGACCCTCAGCTGACTCCACATTCTTTTTGGAGCATACTTCAGCCCTATCCTAGGACTCCCTGTTTCTTAAAATTAACATTTAAATGAAAACTTACTTGTTTCCTTGTATTACATTAGTTTATTCATTAAATATTTAGTGAGTTGCTGCTGTGTGCCAGGTGCCTTCCAGGAACTAGAGAGTCTGCGGGAGGTGAAGCCTGGCCTCCTCCTGGAGCTTACTTACACTTGAGTAGGGGAGAGAAGGAGTACCCTGCCACTTCAGGTCGTGAGTGCTAAGAGCTGAGAGGAAGGGGCTGGGGGCTGCTCTTGCAGATGGGAAGGTTAGGGAGGGCTCTGCCCAGGCACAGAAGGGCTGAGTGCAGGCAGACAGGCAGGGGGCCTCTGGGCCAGCGCTCTGAGTGGCAGGGGCGTTCTCCGTGTGCTGTCGTAACAGGCAGGAGGTCACTGTGACTCGAGTGCAGTGAGCGAGCCTGGGAGGATTGGGATGAGGCCAGAGAAGTGGCCCGGGCCAAATGGTCAGTCTCAGTCAGACCTCAAGGGCCGTCACGGGGCCTTTTACCTGGGTGGACAGAGGTTTGAGCAGAGGAGTAACATGAGCTGGCCTAAGTTTTGAAAATGCCCCTCTGCTGAGGGTGAGAGAAGCCCTGGGGGCAGGGCGGAGGCAGGGAGTGGCCTTGTCAGAGGTGAGGAGGCCTTGCACTGAGAAGGAAGTGACGTGTTCTGGAATGATGGGATTCAAGGCGTGGTTGGGAGAAGGCTGTGCTTTGTTGATGCATGGCTGTGGGGTGATAGAGGGAAGTCCAGGGTGACTCTGGGGTCTTGTGAGCAGTTGGGTGGGAGCAGGATTGGGTGGGTATGGTGGAGTGAGAAACCCATGGTTTTAAAAACTAAAATGCTTTTTCTGTTAACTGGGTGCTCTTGTTATAGCTAACAGAAAGAAACAGGATGTTATGTTGCCAAAACCAAAACAGTATCACAGTTTCCGAAAACCGTTTCCCACTTACGAGTCATGTATGTTCTTTTGAATAAATTCGGTATGGAAATGGCATTGTGAATAGCTGCTTTTCCCTTTCTAAAATGAAATGACTAGTTTCTAGTGCTTTAATTATTATCTGTCTGACTTTTGTTTCCCTGTTTTTACACAGGACAAGGTGTCGTATTGGAACGCTCCATCTACAGCGACTTTGTCTTCTTGGAGGCGATGTATAACCAGGGGTTCATCCGAAAGCAGTGTGAGTCCGCGTGGCAGATGCGCCCTCCGGGCTGTGTGGGCAGCTTTGTAGAGGGGCCGCAGACGCACCTTGCCTTAGTGTGCGTTCTGTGAACGTCTGTTCAATGAGTGAATCAATACCATTAATTATTGTTTCCACAGGAAAAAGAACGGTTCCTTCCCCCTCTTTTCCTCCTACAGTCACCCCTCCCAGTGGAAGCAGCGTCACATCCTGGGTCCTTGAACACACAGCCCTCCCCAGGAAACCCCCCAGCTCTCTGTTCAACCTCACGAGATATCTAAGCTGCTTTTCTTTGATCCGTAGATTTAATCTTACTGAACTCTTCCATTTCTAGGGTGTATTTTTATGTAATTAGGGTGTCTTACTTCCCTTGTGCCCGCAGCTGCGTGAGGCCAGCATTCTTGTCATCTTTTCCTTCTCTCTAATGCAGTGCTGTTCTAATGCTTTTAGGGACTTAGCATTGTGTTGGGATATTGTTGAAAGTGACAAGCGGCAAAGGGATGGGAATAAAGATCTCCTGGTTAAAGGTAGCATGACCCTGAGGAGCGGTGGAAACACGGCAAGGTGGGCGGGGCGTCTGTGACTAGAAGGTGCCGGGGTGGGCTGTGGAAGGCTGTGCTCAGTCTGCCTGTGGGCATCCTCACCTCTCTGCTTGGCTGACTGGAGCCAGTGGGTGGCTCAGATCTGGAGGGCAGAGTAGGAGTTGTTGGTTAATGAGAGGGGAGACCGAAGCAACCCGAGTGATGATTTGGGGGTGAGGCTGTGTGCCCTTGGTCTGCTTACACGGTCTGCTGTTTGGAGTAGTCCAGGTGTGTGCTTGGAGCAAGAGCAGCCAGAGCCCTTGCTTCTGCCCAAGGCACCGAGCCTCGCTAGACGTTCTGAGCAGCAGTTGAGGTCAGTCAACCAGCGTTTCTGTGGTGCCAGCTGTGTGCCAGGCTCTGTCTTAGGTGCCATGGATATGAAGATATATAAGACAAGGAAGGCTGCCACAGTCCTGGGGTGGAGGGTAGGGTGTTAAAGCAACAGACATGGTTAATTGCAATAAAATGCACTTGACAGCTCCTCCTGGGTGACATTCCTCCAGGGGGCTGTGGAAGCACCCAAGAGAACATTTAAGCAGCTGGGAGAAGATGGGGTATTGTCAGGAACAGAGTCCTTGAAGAGTGAGCCCTGGGCAAGCCATCAGCACTGCAGCAGGGCGAGCAAGGTGAAGCGAGGCTGGAGGAGCCTGCGTTGGCACAAGCTGCTGGTGCTTGCTTGGAGGGAGGGCTAGGTGCTGGCGCAGGGTGAGGCAAGTGGGGCACAAGGAAGGGGTTTGCACCTTGGCTAGGACCCTTGGATTTTTCCTGAAAGTACTGAGGAGCCACTGAAGGCTTTTAGGCATGGGAAGGATGTGGTTAGATTTAAGTTCATTTGTCTGAAGGATGCGTTTGGTGGGGGGAGATCAAAGCAAGGGAGACCGTTGGGAGGAAGTCGGATGCATGTACCGTAGGTTGAAGGCCCGCACTGGGCAGGGAGAGTGGCCTGCTGGGGAGGGTGGGTCTCGCATACGAGCAAGTGCAGTTGGTAAGCCTGGGTGGTCAGTGTTCTGGGAGGAAAGTGGGTAGAGTCAAGTGGACTTGGCTGGGCTTCTCACCAGTGAGAAGGCTGTGAAGGGGCAGTGGACTGAGAAGGTTTCATGTGTGGCATGTTGAGTTCGAGATTCCCGTGAGATAGCCAGCTGAGATGTCTAGCAGGCAGTCACGTGTCTGAGCCTGACGTCCTGAGGACTGGTGTGGACTGGAGACAAATTTTGGGTGAATCAGCCTGACAGTGGACACACTTGTCCCAGGAAAGCCCATGGAGCGAGGTGAGGACTGAGACCAGAATCCTTGGAGGATTCCAGGTTTCTGGGGAGTGCAGCCCACTGCAGATTTGAAGCTGAATGGTCAGAGGTACGCTAGGGGCCAGCGAGGGTGGTGAGGACATTCATCACATGGAGTGTATAGGATCTAGTGGGACAGGAACTGAGAAGGGACCTTTAGGGGTCTGGTGGCTTTAGCAAGAGTCATTTCATTCCCGCAGTGTTGGGGGAGAGCAGATTACTTAAGGGTAGATGGCAAAGAGCAAGGTGAAAACTCGCCTAAGGAATGGGAATGCTGACAGGAGTATGGAGAGAAATGGAGAGTGGGAGGAGGAGGCGGGAGGACGGGTGTTTCCCTGGTGGTGGAGACACTGGCTGGGTTCTAGGCTGCACAGAGAGGAGGCGAAAAAGGCCGAGTGGATTCTGTTTGGACAGACGAACAGTATCCACAGGCGAGCCTCTGCCTTTGCTTTGATTCCGCCTCCTTTGCAGTCCTTGTAGCCTCCGGCTCAGACCCCTGCTGACCCTGGAGCAAGGGCCCATCCTGCATTGCCTCTAAAGCAGGAGTTACCGGGAGCGGCCACTTGGACGTTTTCTTCAGAGCACAGTAGTGGTCTTTCTGTGGATTTTAGTGTGATCGCCCAAGTTTGTTGCTTCTGGAAGTTTCTGCCATGAGGAAATCTGCTGCAGAGAGGATGGTTTCTTCACACTGCTCCTGTGGTGGGTTCATCCCAGTGACCTGGAGCAGGTCCTGCCCGTGGGTTTCTGGTAGCGTGGCGTATGCTCCAGGACTTCAGGTGCCGGCGGTTTTCAGAGCAGCAGGAATGTTCATCATGATTTTTATGTGACTGCTGTCTGTATAATATATTCTATATGATGCCAGCTTCGGTAGAATTCTCCCTGAGCCTCAGCCGTGTACTAAATCCGCTTCAGTAGGCACTTCTGTGTAGCTGATTAAATTTGCTGAAAAACGTTGAACCCAGGTAAATGTAGCTTGACATCTTTCAGTTGAGTTATTTGAAAAATACAGTATATAAAAATGATTTTACTCCTTGGAGAAGATCAGACTCTTATCTAGTATTACTGTGAAGAAATACACATGCAGCAGGCATGTGTGATACATTGCAGTTCAGAGTACTCTAAAATGGATTCTTGGGTGCCCTCTCCCTTGCATAAGAAGTATAGGTGGACCCTTCAGTGTGGCCACGTCATATTTAAAATCTCGCCTTTAGAATGCTCTTGAAGCCGTGGTTTAAATTCTGGCATTTCACTTTAAGTCACATAATTTCTCTGGGCCTAATGCTTTTGGTCTATAGAAATGGGGGCGAGAAGCACAGTCTTGAAGGGTTGCTGTGTGTGAATGCCCCGGCACCTGCCGTGCAGTCGCACTTGGTGTGTGTATAGCCGTGGTCATGGCCCTGACTGTTACATGGTCTGCAGATGGCTGCGTGGCTCTGAGAACTGCGTGTAGCCTTGCCCTTCTGTCTGAGAGGAGTGTGTTTTAGAAGCTGTGTGTGGACTGTCAGATGACATGTGCCTCTCCCGTGTGTGCCAGGTGTGGACCACTACAATGAGGTGAAGAAGGTCACCATCTGCGAGTACCTGCCTCCTCACGTGGTGATCTATGTCGATGTGCCCGTCCCCGAGATCCAGAGTCGGATCCAGAAGAGAGGAAACGTAATTCAGCTTTTCCGTTGAAGACCTGTCTTTTTATGTGCCCTCGTTATTTTAACGTAGATCAGCTCTTGAAAGTGATGTTTACAGTAGGATACCGTAGATCACTGGCAGTGCTCATGGGGGTGCGGGCACACCCAGGGCTCTCCTGAGAGAGCAGGCACGTGTGCGAGGGATGGAGGGGCCCCGATCAGTCACTGCTCTCCACCAGTGCTCTCCAGCTCCTGCGCCATCCCCCTCTCGTCCCCTGTCCCGTGTCACCTAACCCATTCTTGTGAGGATGGGTAAGTTTCCCGGCAGAACCTCCCCCTGCCATGTGCCTTTCTCTTCTCTAGTCGGGTTTTCACGCCCTGTTATTTATCTACAAGTTGGAAGCGATTTCTAATATCCTTTCAGTTCCCTACTCCATCTGTTTAGCTCAACTTGTGCCTCTTTCCCTTTTTTCCCTGCTTACTGATTCTAGAACAGTAGTGCATTGGTCTACACATGTGTCCGTTTACTCTGTGGCGTTGGGTGGCCTGGAACCTCTGCGTTTTGCAGTTCCCACTGGCTCTGCAGCTTGATGCAGGACACTGAGATTAACAAAGGCCGTCTTTGCCTTTATGACTAGCTCTTGTTTGGAAATGTCACTCCCACAGAGTATTTTTTTCCTGGGGAAAAATGTGGGTTCTTATTGACATTGTGATGAAATGTTGAGTTGCCTATGTATCTGTCTGTCCATTTTCCATCCTGGGAGCTGGAGTTCTGGTAGGTGCTCAGTGAACGCCTGGCGAGTGGGGGCTCCTGGAAGGGCACGGAACAGCTCCGTGTCCTTTGCTGCTGCTGGGAGACCCCGGAAGCTCGCCGTCCTCCTCCCTCTTCCAGTAGTAAACACATACGTGATGTCTGTCTCTGCCTATTGCCAGTCTGCACCTGTTATTACTTGAGTTTTCTCTTAAGGATGATGTGTAATTTAGACTTTCAAGAACATTCCATCAAGGCAAAAGGAGGGAGCTGCAAGTAAAAAATACTTAATTCTTACTCAATGGAATAATTTTGAATACCTTTCAGTATTACAGTGACATTTATTGAGAAAAATGGAGACATATATTCAGAATTCTCTAGATAACTCTTGTTATCTGGGATGATAACATTTCAAAGCAATTTTGAATTCCAAATTAGGACTGTCAACTTTTTAGTTTTTCTAAGTAAAGTCTTGATGAATACTATCACCAACTAAAATTAACACTGTGTTTGGGAAAAGGAGACATTTTATCAAAGAAACATTGTATCATAATAAGTGTATGTTCTTATATTCTAGTAGGGGAGACCTATAGTAAACAAAGGAATAAATAAGAAATATATTGAAGGGAGGCAAATGCCACGCAGATAATCGAACTGGGTGAAAGATAATGTAACTCAGCCTTTAGCATTCGTAAACTATAAGAGGTGTTAAATATTGAAACTTTGCCACTCATAATTGGAGTTTTAAATTTCTGAAATTGGCTAAGCAAACTTCAGATGCTGAGGGAAGTAGGAGACGGAGAGGTGGTAGGGGCATGGTGGGGGGTAGAGAAGGGTTTGGAAGGTTGGGGAGAGAGTTGACAGAGAGGAGGGTGGGGAGGATGGATGGGGAGAGGTGGGCCAGTTCCCCCCACGTTGTCTGTAATGTTTCGTTGTGTGCACTCAAGCATGTAGCGGGACAGGAGAGCCAGGCCCTGTAACTGTAGAAGGGGATTCTTTCTGACCCTAAGTACGCGTCCTAGAGCCTGTGAAAAAGGTCATGCTGCGGGTTCACGTGGCCAGACTTAGGTGCTCCCTATAGGAGAACGAGAATAACCCTAAGTGGCACCGAGGCCCCTTTCCATCGCCCTGGTGTGTGTGGTTCTAAGAAAAGAGTGTTTCTTGATGTTTCCACATTTTACATGTGCACGGGTAAAAGGAAAAGAAATCTAAAGGCTTCACACTTACTTTCCTGCTTTTGTCTAGCCACACGAAATGAAGATCACCTCCGCCTATCTTCAGGACATCGAGAATGCCTATAAGAAAACCTTCCTTCCTGAAATGAGGTGAGTCAAGTGCGTGGTTTCTTTATACGACTAGAGCGCCTTCACGCCTAGTTATTTATGACCGTGGGTGTTGTCCCCGATGTTTTAATCTGTTGCTGATAAGCACGAATGAGAGCAGACATTTCAGTTTGATTTGGTGGGTCTTTGGTTTGCTTATTTTGTCAATGCTTGTTTTCTTTGTTATACTTTTAACATTTTTTGATGTTAGAAGTAAACTGAAACTCTATTTCATTCACAGGTTTTAGCATTAGAGAACTCAGGTATTTTTGCTTTAGGTGACAGATTGCTCAGTGAATCCATACAGAAAATTCATAAGGGAAAAACAGTCTCTAGAGATACTTTTAAATGATATATTAAGCGGTGTTTGGATAAAGGAAAACACCACCAGACCTTTTCTCTTCCTTTCTCCCTCTTTCTTTCTTTATCGAAAGTGCAAATGTATTTGCATCCACGCTGTCCGCCCTGTCTGGCTTGTTGTTCTGTGATGCTGGGGTATCCCTGTGTCAAGGAAGTCATCTGCTTCTATCCCTCACGTCCAGTGAGGGCTAGGTTTTGTGAATAATGCTTTTATGGAAGGTTTCTAGTAGTATTTCTTAAACTTTTTTTAAACTTTGGCCTCTTTTGATGCCTAAAAATCTTATTCCCTTTTTAACATTTCAAAGTAACTATAAAATTGTGAATAAAAACAAAGTAAGGCATAGTAATTACGGAAGAAAAGTTTGATTTTTAAATTGGAACAAGTGTTTGTGCTTATGTTGCATCTGCTTGTTTGTGGTAAGCTTTTCTCTTGTAGGCAGCATAAAACACGGTGCTGTGTGTTCCTTTTCTCCTGTCCTGCTGCTCTGTTTTGGGGACCAGAAGCGCAGAAAAAAAGCAGTGTTGTAAACTGCCAGGGGAATGTATCGAGCTGTGTGCATCAACTATCAGAGATAGTTGATCCTAGGATTTCAGTCCCAAAAATCCCTCTTGGAGATCTTCTGGCTACAAAAATATCCCTGAGAAAGGGCTTCCTGGCAAGTTCTCAAATAGGATTTTTCACTGTAACATCAGGGAAATAATGCCTGGATCTGCTTGCAGACCGGCTGAGGTTTCCTTTCACCTTGCAGTTGTTCTCAGGAGCTTATCTTCGTGGACTTCCTGCTCATGAAATATGTTCAGCAACAATTAGAAGAATCCATTGCTTAAACTGGCTGTGCGTACTTGAACTGTATTGGAAGTTGGCTCCTGAAGCCCCAAATGGTCCAGAGGTCAAATGTGCCCCCAGGGTTCAGGGAGGTGTCGCTTCCTGCGGTGCTGACAGTCAGCTTCTTCCTCTTGATGAACTGGCGAAGCATCCTCTCCCTGGTGACTGGATCCCCTTGGGGAGCGGAAGACTGTTCAGATCCTCACGCGTCAGGGCGACAATCTGATGTCCAGCTCTGTTTTTTACATAACTGCCTTGATAGTCGGGTGCAGGCTGCACAGAGTAGGGAAGCTATTGCTTAGTGGTGACCAACGCAGTGGTTCCTAAGAATAGGTTTTTACCAGGTCCTGTTCATGGACCCAGCGTTGCTGGACGCTGCCCTGCACACTCTAGTCCCCGGCCCCAGTTCAGTCTGCTGAGCTTCGTGTGTGTCACCATAGCATCAAAAATGCTGGCAGCCTTTGAGGAAGTTTCCTGGGTTTGAACACAGCAGTTCTGTCTCCACAGTGTCATTACCCACACATCATTCCTCAGAAATCACACAGATCAGGGTGTTTCCTATGTCACCGCGGAAACCTCAACTTGGCGTTCGGAGTCCTTGTTAGGAGGCTGCCATGAGAATGGGAGGTGTCAGGTCCTTGTGGTTTCCATGGGCCCTTCCTGGCCTGGGCTAATTCCTGCTGTTACGTGCTGCTCACTCTCACAGGAGGCAGAGGACACACTTGGAGGAAAAAGCTGCCTTGATGTCTTCCTAGGTTGGTTTGAATTTGGATGTTTTTCAAGTGTAAAGGGCTGATGTTGTCATTGCTCAGGAGTTTGAGGCTTACTCCACATTGTTGAGGGGGACCTCTGTTTTTGCAGTGTAAGCCTTACGGAATTTCCAGTTTGGTTTCTTTGTTTCTTCGTCCCCAGCTTCAGCTGCCCAGGGAGGAAAGTGCATATCAGAGCCCTGAGCAGAATGTCTGTTGTGACTGTAGAGCTGACGCTGTTAGCAGGACGTGGAGTCACGCTTCGTGTCTGTTGTGTCTGTAGAGCCGGCACTGTTAATGGGGTGCAGTTATGCTTCAGCCCTGTAAGCAGCAGCATCATCCTCTTGTTTCCATCTTTGTTCTCCCGCTAGTGTCTGCTGCCACTTCTCGCCACCTCTGGCCCAAGCTCCATGCTTTCACTTTGGTCACCCTTTCTTGTCCACTGCACTGGGCAAGCCAAGATGACATAAAAGAGAGGGTTTTTTTGTTGGTGTTTGTATGTTTGTAGCACATGATAGTAACTACAAAATAGGTTTATTTTAACTTCTCTTCCTGAAAAGAAGGAGCCCTCACCCACTTGCCGGTTGCCTTACAAGCTGTACCGTGCGCTCCAGCAGACCACTGCACAGGTGGCCCCTACTGGGAACTGGTTACTCTCTCCTCTGTCAGGGACTTCTGCTGGAGCTGTGCCTTCAGTGGCCTGTATCATGAGAACTATATGTAGGCATACGTGTGAATATGTGTGTGTGCTTAATTTGATTTTCCCAAATGACTATCATATTATGGTACAGGTTTTCTTTCTCTGCAGCCCCTGCCCCTCCTGCCCCATAGATTTGTTAAGCCTTGTGCATTTGTTCTCACCGCATGATCTTGCTGTGATTTCAACTCTCGTCTTTTGAACAGGTAAAGTCTGTTCGTTGTTAAAGTGAATTCTGTCCAGCAGCTCAAGCTGTATGGATTGATGAGAGCCACTTAAAGTACAGGTCATTTGTCACATTTAGAAGAAAAACATGTGAATTCTGTGCAATATGCATTATTTTAAGCATTGAATTATCGAGCGCAAACATGCTGCAGCTTGGTGATGTCCTTGCGTCTTGAGGTTTTGTCTTGGCAATTCACTGTGAAATTTGACTAAAACTACCAAACTTTACATAAAATTTCAAGAAACCTATCACAAATAGATTATAATCTAAAGTCTGTAAGTCTTTGTGTTTAGAATTCAGAAAGTGTTTTCTCACAGGAACAATTTTAGGTTTCCTGGACTTGTCTATTTTAACTGTCATTTAGTTAAATACTGTACATTTACAAAGAACAACCTTAGAAGATAAAATTGTTAGAGTTTTAGTAATTAAACAATAAAATCAAAATTGAATAAGCAGAATAGTTTTTAGCTTGAGTGTCAGTGTTTGAAGCAAAGCGCATTTACTCACAGGGTTGCTGGCTGCCGGGGGAGAAGTCCTGAGTTCCTCGTCTGCGTCCGTGCTGATTCCTCGCTGTTAGCTCTTCTCACTAGCATGTGGTGACACGTGGCAATGCTTCGCTGTCCTTGTGTATGTTGAAGACTGCGTGAAGAATGTTGCAGCCTTTTCCAAAATAGTTGTTTTGTGACACTTTAAGAGGCACAGTGAACTAACTACCATAGGAGTGTGTATTTTCTCACTTCTTCAACATTTCTGACCAAAATCCTAGGGATATGTATTATTTATCCTCATTACCTTGACTATGAGTGTATCATAAATAAGAGTGAGCCATAGCTCAGTTTAATAAACATTAGTCCACTCGTTTGTGAACAAGTATTTATTCAGCTCCATAAATGTGACGGTCATTGTCAGTCTTTGCTGGAGGCACAGTAGTTCTTCAGACAGGCTAGGGTGGACCTGTCTGGGAAGACACTTAAGCTGAGATTTCAGAGATGGGAAGGAAGCACTATGTGACCAACCGGATCCTGAGCTTACTTTGTAAATATCCATTCTGAATCTTGTTCTTGGACAGCTAAGGGACTGGAGGAGCCCCCTGGAGGGGACTCTGTAACTTCAGGAAGCAGCGGGCATGGGGCTCCCTGTGGCCTTGAGAGCTCTGTGGGGACAGGCTGCTCTTGCAATAGGATTTGAGTTGGCTCCTCGGGCCTTCGAGGGTGTCTCCACATCGCTGAGACCCAGCTAGCCGCTGTCTTTATTTTAGCCTCCCTTCAGAAGTTGTGGGACGGAGAGGTGGGTGTGACCCAGCACAGGTCACAGGATGAGTTTGCCCTCTGTTATTCTTCGGTTTGTTGTTACTGAGGCATTTAGTGCGATGCTCTGCCCATCATCAGCACCCAGAAAATAGATGTCTGTTGAATCGAGTCACATGGAAGATGGAAATGTTAGGCCGTAACATTGGTTCTGTAGGTTGTTTTCAGTAGATGGTCTGAGGTCTCGAATTCCTCAAGGGCAGGAGCCCTGTCTTGTCACCTTGTTCACCCCACACAGTACCGGCTGCCTGGCGGGGGCTTGGTGAGTGTCTGCTCAGTTCTGTGTGTTGAAAGGCCCTGTCCTGTATTTTCCTGACCTCTCATGCTCACTCTGTGACAGGTACATCCAGGATGACCCTTCACATTGTTGTGAGAGAAAGAATAAAGTTATCTCAGTGATCATCCAGGAGGGTTTACAGCCTTTCTCTCCTACACACTTTAGGTTAATTTTGACTTACGCGACTTGCAGAGGGACATTACTTCCCTTTGTCACCGTGTACCTTTCTTCTCATAGTAACACTGTGTTGCTCCAGGCAGTTGAGAAGGATACGCGGTAAGTCCTGTACTTAGGGTGGCGTCGAACTTCCCAACCTCAGTGGCAAATGCAGTGAGTTTATTCTCCTAACTTTAGGGACTCATCACGCGTTGTGTTTGTGGTTTCTGACATTTCCATTCATGGTTATAGGGATCCAAGGAAGGCGGTGGTCTAGCTGCAGTTAGAAGCTGTTACCTAGTTCGATAACTTTCTTTGAATTGTATAATATAGGCTAACTACAGTGCCTAAAAACATTTTTCTTACACTGTGGAATTAATATGAGCCAATAGTAATGATAGTTAACACAGGTACCTTACCTATGCTAACTCGGTTAATTCAACCAGCGGCCCCAACTGAAGGCGGTTAGCAGAGTTGGTGATGTTCGAAACCGTTAGAGTGGGTCGTATGTGGATTGCTGAGTATGGCTTGTACATTCTTGGGGTGTTTACTCTACATTTAATTCCCATCCGTAGGAGGATGTTCTGTTTTAAAGATACTTAAATAAGAAAATGTCCCTCATTTTTGCCATGCGAAGATCATGGGAAGCCATAGTCCATCCGTGGCATCTGCTGTCCCCTTGCCGGAACCTGGGCTCGAACAGTTCTGCAGTGACATGCTGTCCAGTGGGCCTCTTGGTCTAGGTAGCCTTGCTGGCCTCTGGCTGGGGTTGTGACCTCAAATCTCCCCCTGGTTTGTCTGGAGGTGGTGGCAGACGCAGCCTCCTTCTTTTACCAGGTACAGACTTATCAGCCTGCTGGTCTTAAGGCATCTCCTGGCTGGGCAGCCTGGTCTCTAAATGACAGTAAACATGGCGAGGAAATGGGCAAAAGTGCTGGAAATGGCAATCTCCTGCTGCCGTCTTGCTGGGACCCAGTGTGTCCAGACTCGGGACTCAGGACGAAGGGAACTGAGTTGTTGCTCTTCTTTTGCATAGTTTGGTGGAAGCAGGTTATTTGGAGGCTTTCTTTAGCAGCAGGTAATCTGTGTGAGTCTCCTAGCCCCCAGCATTTGGCGGCTCTCTGTGCCTACATCTCCGTGCGGCCTTGGCTGCTCTGTACTCTCCTGTAATGAGTGCTGCAGCTGAAGCTGGTCTGTGAGGCAGCAGAAGTGAGCTGTGTGCCCTGTCCCTGGTGGATGCTGGTCTCGCGCCCGTGGGGTGGGGGCAGTGGAGTAGAGAGAAGGGAAGCCAGGAAAGGGACCTGCTGTGTCCATCCAGCCGTGAGCCCATTTCTGCTCCTAACTCGTCCTGAGCAGTCCAGCCGTGTGGGCCGGAACAGGCCCAGCACAGTTCCCAGTTCAGAGAGGGTGATTCACGTTTTAATATCTGTGGGAGACTTTAATGTTATACATTCATTTGTACACTAATGCAAGCTTGGGAAATTTGCATTGAACTTCATCTTTTTCTTACAGTGAAAAATGTGAGGTTTTACAGTATAGTGCGAGGGAAGCTCAAGATGCAGAAAAGGTAAGAAAATGTCTGAAAAGTTTATAATTATTAAATTTGATTCACGTATAGGGTTCTCGCAAATCTGATAATCAGTTTGGCTCCCACTGGTCTTAGAAATGTTTGTGTTTTATAATCTAACAGTTCCAGGCCAGCCCATTGCACCCCCTGGTCTGGAGGTTTTGATTTTTTCTACATAATTCAGTTTCTATCGTCTTAGAATTATAGAATGGTAAACATTCAAAGAACCTTGGGTTATCTGCTCCAACATTTTTATTAAACAGAGGGTAAAATTGAAAGTTGGATTAAAAACGGGAAAGATTTAGTAATATAAGGACATCAGCTTTCCCCATATTAGTAGGTGTGTTTTGTGAAATTCAAGTCAATCTCAGTGCAATTAATGAGTAATAGCCAAAAAATTTTGAGAAAGAATAATGCAGGAACATCTGCTCTCCCAAATACAAAAACATTGCAAAATTATGGTAATGAAAGCACTGCAGTATTAATACAACAGTTAATAAATAGCTTAATGGAGCAGAAATAGGTGCATGTGTGTGCTCATGCGTGTATGTGTGTGTGTGTGTGACTTTGGTAATGTCAGTACTCTAAAGGATAATAAAAAATGAAGCAGAGGAAAATGGATTATTATTAACAGTGTTAATGCTGTTGACCATCTAGTTGGTAAAAAAAAAAAAAGTCCCATATTTTATATCATATATTAAACATAAATTACTAAAAAACAACACAATAAAAGGTATAAGAATTCAAGAAGAACATAAAGGTTGAGCTGTAGGTGGCAATATTACAGAGAAAGCATTGCGAGTCGATAGCTTTAATCAAAGCACACCTCAGCTGCCATGCAGCATGGGGACAGCGGGCAGAAAGTTACCGTGCCAGCTGTTTACAAAGAGAATAGGGGTCTCCTCTGAGACAGAGGGCAGTCGAGTCCCTGCTCTGGGAACAGCGTTAAGAATTCTTCTTAGACTTGGTTCGTTCTCCTCAGACTGATTAAATTGCGATCCCAACCTTCTGTTTCTGTGATGCTGATTTGTTTTTAGATTATTTTTATACCTGTTTAGATGGCACCTTTTTGAGAAGAATAATACATTGTATCTCAAAGACTATGCCATTTGAATTCATAATTGAATGTACTCCCCTGTGACCCAAGTGCTAGGCAAGGCACCCACATTGAGGACCAGCAGCACCCTGTGACCCCCAAGTGCTGGGTGAGGTGTCCACGTTGAGGACCAGCAGCACCCCGTGACCCCTGAGTGCTGGACGAGGCGCCCACGTTGAGGGATCATCATAGTCCACTGCTTCACTGAAGGCCATCCGTCCAACTTTTCTTTTTGACTTTCATGGTGTGATTGTTCCTGCCAGATATTGGTAGCTTTAATGCATTAAGAAGTTATCTCATTTAGATTTCTGAGCTGGGACTCTGCCTTACAATCGGCATTCTCTCTGTCTAGGTGGTAGAGGATGTTGAATACCTCAAGTATGACAAGGGGCCGTGGCTCGACCAAGATGACCGGACTTTTCACCGTCTGCGGATGCTGTGAGTCTGCGACCTTGGGAGCTGCTGGGACGGCAGGGGGCTGATGTTCTGAGTGCGGTACACTGGGTTCCTTGCCTGCTGTGGGAGCTTAGAGGATTTTGAAGGAATTATGTTTCAAGTTAGGTGTCGACACTGCTGAGACTTAGGTGTGTTTCCTTTTTCCTTGCAAACAGGCTCTTGCGTTCTCTGTCTGATGGTGAATTCACTGATTACTGTTATTAACGCAACAGCTGTTGTGCTTCCACTACGTGCCAGGCACTGTTCCAGATTAGGGTGTATGGTATCAAATAAAACTCTGGCTCTTACCGAGGATACATTTTATGGAAGAGATAGAGAGTGCTCAAACCAATAGGACTGTGTTGGGCGCTAAAGGCCATGAAGAAAGGTAACCCTGAGCAATGGGACAGTAAGTAGCTGGGGTGTGAGTGACAGAGGGCACTGTTGGGGGATGGGGCGAGGAAGGACTCTCTTCTGAAGAGGCCCGAGTTGACACAAGGACTGGGCCCTGTGGCGTCTCGGGGTGAGCAGGGGCAGGGAAGCCGGCAGGTGGAAAGGCTCTGAGGTGGGAGCACAGTGCGAGGGTGGGCCCAGCAGCCAAGCCGGTGTGGCCCGAGCCAGGGACAGTGGAGGAGGGGAGGCCACAGTGAAGGAGGGGAGCTCACAGGGCCTTTGGTGCTATGCTAAGGAGTTAGAACTTTTTTCTGAATAAGAAGCCATTTTGGGTTTGAGCAGAGGAGGGGTCTGATGTGACATACATTTTAAAAGATCATTCTGGATAGTGTGAGGGGTCCTTGGTATCTTCTAAATAGAAAATAACAGCCATACCAATCTAAGTAGGAAAAAAATGCTATCTCCATCCTTACCCCTCTCAAAATGGCTCTTGTCAAGGAAATGGACCTCCTTACTCAGTCTCTGACTGAACCCCGCCCTGTGGCTGCAGATACCATAGTTGCCCACCTTAGGTCACAGCCCAGACCTTTTCCCTCAGTGCCAGACGTGTGTCTCTGCTGGCTGGCCAGCGTCTTGCTGTGTGTCAGCACACGGCCTTCTACAGGTCACCCTCAGATGTGCTCAGGGCTCCTGTTCCGTCCTTGCCCTGCCGTGCCCGTCCCTCTGCCTGGAGCCTGCCCCTGCCGGCTCTTCGGGTGATCTCGTGCTCCCGTCGCTCCTCCTTGGACGGGCCCTCCCTGTGCTCTCTCACCTTCTCCCCTCACCGTGCTTGTGCTCCTGGTGGAGTGTCCTACACCTTCCTGTATGGGGCAGAGCCTTTGGTGACCCTCCCTTGTGGGGTTGCTGCAAATCTCCACTGTCCAGAGTTCTCAAGGACCTCAGTGAATCTGCTAGGCCCCAGACACAGCCCTTTCTGTCCCCATTTCTGTCCCCACTCTGCACAGTCTCCCCAGCTTCCCTTGGTCCTCAGGATCAATCACTCCAGCTCAGGACAGCGACCTCTGCCTCTTTCAGCCGCTGGGGCAACATGAGGGGCCCCAAAGCCCAGGTGTGATGTTGGCTTCTCATTTAACAAAGCTGCGACTGGGTGTTCTGGTGGAGGCCTTTTGCCCCTGGACGCCTTGTCCTCAGCCCCAGCCCCAGACGGTAGCGAGATGGCACTAAATCCTGCTGCCAGTGTAGCTCTCTTACAGACCACAGCAGAGTGCTTTCACCAGTTGGTGCCTTCACAGCCTTCAAGAGGCCATTCCACCATTCTGTCAGGTCAGCTGCGTCCAGGCGATGGGAGAGCAGTCGGCATGGTGAATGTCATGCTCACGCAGCCATTGTTGTACTTCCTTTGCCATGAAATGAGTTCTCAGTCAGGACCCCATCATGTGGATGACCATGTGTGTGAGTGTCCTGGGGCTGCTGTAACGAATGACCATCCCCTGGGGGGCTTAAACAACAGAAGTTTATTCTCTCTCAGTTCCGGAGGCCACAAGTCCAAAGTCAGGGGGCAGCAGGGCCGTGTTCCCTCTGAAGGCTCTGAGGAGAATCCTTCCTTGCCTTGTCCAGGTTCTGGTGGTTGTTGGCAGGCCCTGGCATCCCTTGGTGTGTGGCCACACCACTCCCATCTCTGCCTCTGTCTTCACGTGGCATTCTTCCCTGTGTGTCTGGGTCTGAATTTCTTCCTTCTGGTAAGGATACCAGTCATGGGATTAATCCACTATGATCACATTTTAACTTACATCTGAGAGACCCTGTTTCCAGATAAGGACACATTCGCAGGTTCCAGGTGGACATGAATTTGGGGAGACACTAGTCAACCAGTACACCGTGTGTGTTTTGGGGGTCCCTAAGCCCACTCCCACACTTGGGAATTCGCTAGAAGGACTCGGGAAACTCAGCATAAGGTTGTACCCATGGCTAAAATTTGTTACAGTGAGTTAGTCGGCATACACAGCAGGATGAGTAAGGAAAAAGGCACGGCGAAGTCTGGCATAATCTGTGGACAACTTCCCGGCCTCCCTCCCTCCCACGAGGGAGACACTAAGCGCGTTGCTTCGTCCAGTATGAAAAATATGGGAACACATGGCCAGTATTTCTGCCCAGAAAGCCCATTAGACACTCAGTGCCCAGAGTCCTTACTAGGGCGGGCCTGTGGGCTCCTCTGCCTTAGCACCTACTCAAACCCAGACTCCCAGAAAGCAGGCAGGCGTTCACCACATATCATAGTGTGCCCAGTGTGCAGGGTCCAGTGGCCCAGCCTTAACGGCATAGGCACATTCTGGAAACCATTCCCAGACACCAGCCAAGGGAGACAGCAGTCTCAGGCCTGCTCTGTTGATGGCAATGGAAAAGGCACTCTTTGGGTACATGAGCTGTGCTTCTGGCAGAAATGTGTCAGACAGAGAAGGCAAATCTCAACCCAGGAAATGTAATTTTCCTATGAGGGTAGATGGCTACCCCTCCATGGTGGAAGGGACCCCATGTAATGACCCCCCATTGTGCCACCAGGGGCAGGGCTGTGCTGGAGGCTCAGCATTGGCTTCTGCTGTTGGCATGCTGGGCACACACAGTGGCAGGCCCAGATCAGTTTTGGGGAGCACAGGCCTAGCTGTTGAGTCCATGGGTAGCCTCCATCCTGTGTTGGTGCCCACCCACTCTGTCACCCCCTTGGGGAAGCACCGGCAGAACCTGGCTGGGCATGCTGGACCTTCCACCATGCAGCACACACTGTCCAAGGTCGCAGTTTTTCTCTGGATAACGAATGCACTTGTTTTTCTAGACTTGGCTAATAGGAGTATATATAGAAACACTGACTCCATCAGTTTTCCATATCCTATGCTTGAAAGTGAATAATTTTTCATTTTGAACCTGTTAACTTAGTTATTAAAACTAAGACTTAAAATTTTATTCATTTTTAACAGTTTTTGTTTTGTGTTTTAAGATGGAAGAAATAGCAGCACGTTTTATACCAATGGGAAAGATTGAGGGGACGGGGGGATTGATGCAGAGACAAAAGGCGAGTTCCTGGAGGAGGGTGTGAGTGGGCGTGAGAGGGGGTGGGCTGGTGCGCCGGTGGACAGTTCCTGCTTCTTAGGGGAAGGCGGGGAATGGGTGGGGTCAGGTAAGTGGGTATGCACCGTGGGCACGTGAAAGTTCTCTGCCAGTTGCTTCCATCTTCATAGTGAAATGGAGACCAGGTCATCAGCGGGAGTGGCAGTGGTGGGGGGGTGTTGGAGGTTTGAGGAGGGAACAAAAGGTGCAGAAAGCTGTCGGGCGAGCGGGAGAGGACTGCAGAGGGCAGCGGGCTGGGGATGGTGCACGGGAGGACCATGGTCATGCATAAATGGGCTGGGGATGGTGCACGGGAGGACCATGGTCATGCATAAATGGGCTGGGGATGGTGCACGGGAGGACGGTGGGCACGCTTGAAAGGTGCAGGAGGCTCCTGCAGCGGCCTTCAGCTGCGGGCGGGCGCGCTGTCAGGAAGAGGCAGTGCTTTGACAAGAGTGAGGCTTTGCCAAGTGATATGAGAGGGCGGCAAAGCTGAGCGTGAGTCTAATGATGACGGGTCTGATCTGGGTAAGCAGTGGGGAGGACACTGAGAAGATGGAGGGTCAAGTGGGTTAGAGGCCAGAGTCATACCCGCTCATGAGAGAGAGGTGGGAAACAACATCCAAAATGAAACCAAATGTCCCGTGATTCTGCCACGGCAGCCAGTGTTCGCGGTTTAACGCAGGCTCTCCCAACCTTTTTAAATGTGTATTTCTTGATGAAAACTGTCTTGCGTATATCTTTGTATTCTGTTTTTTAATATCATGAGCATGTCCTTCTTTTATTAAACATTTAAGAATTTGCTTTTTTAGTGGCTACTCATGTATGCTGTTTGAATCCATTGATTAAGTTACAGTTCAGGGTCTGCAGATCGTGGCCTGTGGGCCGAATTCAGCCCTCGGCTCCTAAGAGTGGTTCTTACATTTTTAAAGGATTATAAAAAATAAAAGGGATATGTGACAGAAACCATCTGTAGCCCTCGAAAGCTAAAATATTTACTCTCTGGTTCTTTACAGAAAAAGTTTGTCGACCCCTGAGATGCAGCATAAATCCATTTACCATTTCTTTAATATCACTCATTTGGGTTATTTCAATTTCTTCATATTCATGTTCTGCACACTCGTAATAATGAGCATATTGTACACTGTTTTGTTCCATTTTAGGTTACTCTCTTAAGGTATAAAGTTGGAGTTCTTGTTGTAGGAATGCATTTTACAACTATTGATGTATCAGGCAGTTGTTCTCCAGACAGCGTGTACCGGTTTGCACACTCGTACCTGTCTTCTGAAAGTCCCTACTGAGACAGGAGAGTTAAAACAAAAAGCAAACAATTGTGATTTTGAGACTAAAGAAAAGTATTTGCTTTGTTTTTGCATTTTATAAACACTGAACTTTAAACAGTTTATATTTTTATTGGCTATTTTTTTGTCCTTTGTGAATTTTCTTTTCGTGTTTATTGATCTTTTTAAAGAACCAGTTGTTTGTTGGTTTTCTCTGTTTTTCTATTT